AATTATTTAGAGTTATTCAGAAATGCATTGAGGTAAAGATCTCATCAACACCAGCCAAGTACAGAAAATAAACCAAGAAAACACAAATAAGTAAAAAGCAAAATGTGCAAAATAGCTAATTCCATAGCAACAAGTAAGAGCCTTCGGTATAAATACAGTACATGGAATTAGATTTGAACAAAATGAACTGATTAAGACGATTATAGCTGGAGGTGGACTGAGCTGATAGAAAACTTCAGTTGCCTTAAGGATGAAAATGAGTTGAGCTTTAGATTGTTCAGGTGCATGGTGAGCTCAGTAAAAACCATTGTTTTGTGCTTCGATGAGAGGCCACAGGAAGAGACAGCAGTGATGTGTTATTAGGGCAAAATACCAACAAGGGCCTGATAGAGTATATAAATAAAACACAGTGCTATTTTTACCAAACAGAGAGAGAGGGCCATCCAATACTGAAAGCTGCCCACCACATTATGTCACAAATCCCAAGTGGACATCACCATTAGTCCTAAAACTTAAAATATCACATTTCCTGATGTTTTTAAAGACTATTTTTTTTTTTCATTATTTAAAAAATGACTCATACATCATCATACCTGTTGCAGATTGATTATCTGTACATGAACTAATAATCAATTGTTCTAGCTAACTGTAGCTATTCATCCCATAAACATATTTCTTAAATAACGACTTATGAATATCAGTATACTCTGTACTGCAGCTGATGTTTCCTCTGGTTTTATCTGCCACCAGACAAGCTCCCACTGCCCACTCTGGTTCTCCACCAGCAGACAGACGTTTGGCATCTGCTCTGCACGGGCTCTCCTGCGTACCCCGGTGCTGTGTTCTCCCTCTACCTGGCAGATAATGAGCTTCCTGTTGCCACACACCACGCCAAAGTGATCCAGCACCAGGCCACTTTCCCAGTGCCTGTCCAAGACTCTCCAGTGGTTCTGTACCAGTGCCAGTACAGTGTCCTTCTGGGAAAGACATGGAGCAACTCCGAGCGCAGTCGCCCTTTGTCTGTAATCAAAGGTAAAGAGAAATACTTCTGTTGTTATGGTCAGAGTGAAATCTTATCCTTTCATACTTCACTGGTATGGGCTCCTTATTTTATTCTCTTTTAAAGTGGAATAATAGAAGTCATAATCATTGTTCTATGGACATTTTACAACCTGTTGTTCGCAAAACAAAGGTTTTAGGTTTTCGGAACCTGATCTATGGAGCAATTAATGCAGTGCATATTTTTTGTATATATATATTTCAGGAGTTCCCCCTCCTTCTTCACCAGGTAGGTGAACAGCAGATTTCCATTATTTCATATGTATGTGATTCATCATTTGTCACTTCTGAGTGACAGGAAGTAAAAGACACTCCAACTTGTTGTCTGTGGTGTTAAGACATTCATTTCTCAACACTGTAAATAGCTACATCCACCATGAATCATACTTCCCCCACAGTGTTCCCTATAATACTTCTTTGTTTTCCACAGTCTTCTTTTTGTGTCTAACATAAAGGCCTGTGTGACGTCTGCAGGTTTGTCAGGTGTGGACTGGCCTCTGGTGCTCGGATCTCTCTCGGCTGTGGTGTTGTTCCTCTGCTCGGTGGCTCTGGTAGTTGTGGCTGCACACAGGACAGGTATTTCACACTTGAATTTCAACTTTGTCCCTGATTCGTTCACTTCTCCTGTGCACATGTTCCTTTGAGAGACATATGATTTCCACTCTCACTTCTCTTTTCACTTAAACAGTAAAAGCAACAGCTGAGAAAAAGAAGACAAGGTAAATATTTAATGAGCTTCATTCGTTAAACAGCCCTGACAGCTATGATGTATAAGAAACCTTTGGAGCCATTTATATATAATTGCTGAGAATTCACCCATAATATTGAAAATGTATAAAGGCTTGTAGAGAGGAATAGTATCTCCATAAATTCTCATGTGAATGACCATTTAAATGACAAACTTATTTATACATGTATCCAAAAATTGCTGCAGTGACGTAATATATTGTTCTATAATGCACATACTTTTTACAGACTTTTTGTTCCATACTTTTATGCATATACATCTATTCTTGGCTGGAACAAAACCCAATTTCCCTGCGGGGATCAAGTATTTTTGTTTTGAATTCTTTCAGAGAGCAGGCACAGTTCTGGACTCGAGTTCATGCCAAGGATCACGTTGTTGGTGAGAATTTTTATTCTTCGGAAACACACTTCCTCCTCAGAAATTAATAGTTGCTCGATTCCTCTTTTTATCCAAGTTCTTGATAAATATTTCATGTGTAAACAGCGAACTGAAACAAACATTTTTTTACAGACCTTACACTCAGGAGGTCAAGCATCACCTCTCAGGTAAATATGAATGGAGGCACAGATCTTCTTAGAAGATTTATCTGCTAGGGTTAAAATTGTCATAACTTACTTTTACTTTCCTTCCTCATGTCTAAGTTTCTGTGTCAGTATTTTGAAATACACGCCTGAAACTTTGCAGCAGCAAACTTCATTGGGACACAGAAATAAGACCATGTGCAGTTTTCTGACATTAGTGCGCCTCTTTCCGTTGGTATGTCTGGAATTTCTGCAGCCTCCGTGTTTCTCCTCTGGATTCTCTGTGACAAACAACCATAAACTCTCCTGATCCTCTTGCTGTAAACAAACACGCACACACATTCATGCACACACATTCATGCACACACATCCACGCACACACATTTCCCAACACCAAACACACTGTCAACTCAAACCCTCACATGTTCCTTATTAGTGCTGCAGAGTTTGGGTTCATCTCTTATTTGTTGTTATCACTTTCATTGATTAGCTTGATGACGGCCTCGCAGACCAAAGGCTCTTTGCACACTTTCACTGTCTCCCTGTGCTCTGTCACTGAACAGCCACTATAGAGGAAAGGACTCTGACTTAAAGACTGACCAGCCATTATGTCACAGCAACAACAGAATATATATATATATATATATATATATATATATATACAGTAATAATCAGATGTGACTCATACATGTCATACAGCTAGAATGTTTTGCCAGTTATTTTTCCTCTTTAATGTGTATAAAAATATTTATTGAGGTTAGCCACAGGATAATTTTCTTTTCGGTCAAAGTACACATAGATGTAAAGGACAGAGTTAGAATTGTATTTCAAAAACAGCATCCAATGACTAATTAACCATCAGGAATCTCTGTTCGTCTAATCAGATTTGTAAAAATGATGTAATGAGGTTTGCAGTTGTATAAAGATTAATACATGTGCAGGCAAATCTGCCAATGTGTGCAGGAATCTGTGACTGTTCAGTTGAATCATTCACAGATATAAATATAAAAGTGTTTTGCTCCAAGAGCTGGAAACGCAGCTCATCAGTTCTATCTCAGGTGGACAACACGATATCGCTGGTATTTGTCACATGATTGTTGCATCACTTCTGTATTTATATTTTCTCATCTTATGATCTTTCAAGTCATCTCTTTATAGTAGAGTTTCCTCATTCACCCATTGAAATTACATATCACTCATACACAGCCAACACAATTTGGGGTTCTGCATCTTGCTCAAGGACACTACAGCACCTCCTGAGCCACAGCCACACTGTATCCACCATGTTTGTCTGTATCCACTAGTATTCACAATATTTTTTTGTTTGTTACACTGAACTCAGGCATGGCTATTGAGGCAACACTCTTTTGTCACTTTCTGTACGGGGTAGTGATGGAAAAATCTCGAGGCTCATCAGAGTTGTAACTTGTCTGTATTTCCAGTTCTAGGAACAAAACACTTAACATTTACAGCAATTAATGACCATCTTCGCTTTCAAATATTTATCCACACAGATTTCTGTACATTTGCAAACCACATCACACTTTTACACACTCTAAAATTCTGAATACACATTTCCAGAATCCTGTACGCATTCCTAAGTCCCAGCATGCATTTGCTGATTCTTTTACTGTACAAATCTGATTAAGCACATGGATTGAGATACAGTTACACAACTCTCCACACACACACACACACACACACACACACACACACACACACACATTGCGATAACATTGTCTCCATACGTATGCAGATGATATGCATGTTGTGTATTTATAGCTGGGGAGGATTCTGTGCCACAAGCAAAGCAACAGTAGGACATGAACTGTGCCACAGGAAATGTCAGGCTGAGGTCTTTTAAAGCTTCTCCCTGTGTGTTTATTTATTTGCAGGAATGGATCAATGGCGGCACTGAGACCACCTCCAGATCTCCGTTATGGAACTCTCTCTCCACGTTCACAACCCCGACCCATTAGAGATGTTTGTTATGTTTGTAATCTCTCTCTGTGTGTGCGTGTGTGTGTGTTTGTTTTACACTTTATCGTAGGTGATCAGGGTAACATCAGTTGTAGTTGTACAGCGGGACAGGAAGTGCTGTTTCCTAAGTTCCTGTTTCATGTGCGGCAGTAAAATTGTACAATTTGTCAGGATGTGATGTTTGATCTTACACGTAAACTAAGCATGTGGATTTAAATACAGATTTTTATTTTTTATGACCACTATCATTTTCAGTGTTTGTATGTGGCATTTGTACTTGTGAATAACTTATATAAAGCTTTTATGTTTATTATTGAACTTGGAAAAAGCAGCTTACTAAACAATCTCTGGAGCTTTCAGCTACATTACATGACCTTCATCAGGGGGTGGAGTTTGTCCAGATGTCATGAAGTATAATTTTGAAATATGAAGGTTTATGAAACGATCCAGCAGTGTGAAATGATCTAAATGTTTTGGCCAAGCTTAGACTGTAAATTGTTTCAAAGTGTCTTTGCAGATTTG